CATGAATTCTATGCGTACCGCGCCTGTCGCGTTCGAAGAAAGCGCGCGTGTCCCACGAGGCCGAAAAGTAAAAACCCGCGTTGTCGTCAACGTGTTAATATACGTTAGCTGATCTATGCGCTACTATTATAGTTAGCGCGCTTCCCCTACCACATCTTTAGCCCTTTACTGCGATTCTTCTTAGCTTGAAACAGCACTTTGCAGTCTTAGTAACTTAGGTCGCCTCGTGTTCACCAGTTTTGAGTTTAGAGAACTTACATATGGCCTACTCCTGCTGAAGGGAATCAATAGCCCTCCAAAAATGAGCTGCAGGAGAACAGCGAAGCCGATGTGTATGCATTCAGTGTGGAGTCACACACAATCTATCTCACCAACAAATAAAACCGCCAGCCAGAAATCATCAGTTGAAACTCAAAAGCGCAGGAAGGCCATCGATAACATGAAAAACCAACTGAGACCGCTTTTTTAGGTAAAGCGCGTCGAGTATGGTGCGGATCCGTGGCCGCTCACCGTTTTGCATTCTACCTTACGCCTAAATACTTTTGTGAGTCACTTTCTCCCTATTGAGCATTTGTTATAAATAATATTTGCTGGCTGGCACACTTTCATCATGGCATAGTCATCAAGGAAATACTCAGTGAAGCTTCAACAACATCAAAAACAGTTTTGAAAGCGGGCTATTCAAAGAAATACACTTCAACAATCATCAGTTCACGGAGTGTTAGTTATGTAGCTCGATAGAAATGAACTGACTTTGCACCTATTAGAGCCATCTATAAGGGCAATGACACAATGGCTAACAAAGTATAAAAGTATGACAAGGTGCTGAAGGCTGCTTGACAGTGGAGAACCGGGAATAATCACTAGACTAGTCCGTAATGCAGAAGAGTGCAATAGTGTGTAAACAGGGATCATGGGCACAAAGAAACTGACATTGTGAAGAGGGTATAGCATGAGGATGTGCGATATGGCGGTGTCAGTATGACTCCCACGCCTCCTTCCTGCTCACCTCTTACGCACCTGAAACTATACAAGCCGTAAAGAGCTGCTAATGAAAAAAGCGACATCCGTTCTACACATGAAGGCAATTGCATAAGCCGAAGGCTACGAGACATTAATAATAAAACTGGCTGCTCAAGTCTTTGGGAAGGGGAAGGAAGGAGGAGACCATGCTGCTTTTCTATTTCCTGCTTGTCGGGATAGTATCCCGCGAGCTGGCTGGCTCCCATGAGGGTTACTTCGTAATTTCAGGGTATAGCATGACTTTAACACCGCCATATGGTGGCCATCCAACAAGGGCGCGAATTCAACGCTGAAAAGAAGCACAGAAGCAACTGGAGCGGAGAAGCAATTGTAAACCAGTG